AAAACCCAAATCTTGCTAGAGAGTGCCTCAAGGTTTTATTTTCTAGCGGAGTTTCTTTGACTTTTGGACTCTGTCTTCGATTGTTTTTATTTGTTAGAGGCACAATTTCGAGGGGTCGCCCACTGGTTTCAACTGGTTCAGATTTTGTGGGGTGCCATTAATTTTGTATCCATTTGTCAAAGTCTCGTGTGGAACTTTCCAAAATGTTTTCTTTTTTTAACTTTGATGAGAAAATTTTCAAATTTTTATAGATAATCTTTATAATAAATTTCTTTTTTTAAAAAAAAAATTAGTCTATAATTGTCTCGATTATATTCAAATCAACATTAATTAACAATACAATAAGGCTTGTGTAGAGCTAGGGAGGGGAGGAGTGGGGTGGAGTGGGGGGGTTTAACTCCAAAGAAGTGGGACATGTAGGTGATTGGTGCACAAAGGAAAATGAGAGAGAGAGGGAAGGTGAGAAAGAGTATGAGGTGGAAAGAAACGGGGTAAACTATAAAAAAATGTAGGTTTATTGAATTATTTGTCAAAATTTTGTTTTGACGAGGTTCTTATAAATTGACCTTATAAGTCAGGCCTTTGCAAGTAAATACTCAGGCTGAAGGTCCCAAAGCCTTGGTTTCAAGTCAAACGCGTTTTTGAAAGCAAATATTTAGGGATGATTTACGAGAAATATTTTCCTATTAAACAAATTAAAATTTAACCGAAAGGTTGAACGCGATATTATAGTCGATAAAAGTACTAAGTCCATATATTACTGTCACTCATTATGAAAATGGTAAATCTGATACAGATTTTTTCGAGTGAAAATTTATTTTTAAGAAAATATAGTTAAAAAGTGGAAAAATGTTTTGAATTTCATAAAATATGTGGTTAAAAATGATTTTTAAAAAATTTATGTCAAACAAACTCTTACAAATTGCACTGTTTATATAAGATTTATTTATATTGTTTATACGTTATTTTCAAAATTAACACTTTACGTACTACATTTTACAGTGTGATAAAAAAAATCAAATGTTAAATTCTAGTGACTTTTTCTTTAGTTACTGGAGAAAGCAATTATAAAAAAAAAAAATCATTTATTTTCCTTTATAAAGAACTGAGAGCATGTTTGGACGTGCTTAAAATTCCCTTCAAAGGCTTTTTATTTTTTTTTAACCATCAAGGTTGTTGAGGCATCAATAGAGAGGTAAGAAGGTGTAAATAGATGTTCTGCAGCTTCTTCGTCTACAAGTGAATAGAGATGTCAAATTAGTGAACATAATTTTGATAGAAAAAAAAAAGTTTCAATATCCTTTTTTCTGTGAAATCTCAACTGTATTCCTGTACTAAGGGAAAAATAAAATAAAATAAAAAGGTGATGGGGCTATCCGTAGGACAACAAACGACTACCCACGTCATTTGTGGGTAGAGTACACAAGTTCAAGAAAAGGAATATTTGAGCTTGTTTCAATGCTCAACACGAATTCGTGTTTACTTGTTGGGAAATGCTATGCATTGACAAGTGACACAAAAGTAGTCACTATTGGGGAAAATATAGAAAATAGGAGAAGAGAACAAGATAATCGCAGCAAAAATAGCGTAATCATTGTCCCTAAAAAATATTCGACCCCTGTAAAATTATTTGAGTGCTTAAAGGGATATACATTCAAGTAGTTTGTAAAATTTAAACTAGCCTTTAAAAAGAAAAATATTTAAGCACTTGTGTTTTCTTTCAAAAAATTGAAAAGCACTTAAAGTTTGTATGTGAGATTTAATTGGAATGAAGGGACTATATTTGAATTTTGATTGAATCGTTTGATTTGTTTTAAATTGAAATCTATTATCTATTTATAGAATTCAATTCATAA